CCTGTCCCCATAGCAGAGGGGCTCCAGCCCTCTGAGCATCTTCATGGCTTCCTCTGGACTCGCTCCAACAGGTCCACATCCTTTTTGTGGGGGACCCCAGGGCTGGACGCAGAACTGCGGGTGGGGTCTCAGGAGAGCAGAGTAGACAGGGAGAATCCTCTCCCTCGACCTGCTGATGACACTTCTCTGGATACAGCGCAGGAGTCAGTTGTTACGCTTTCCTACAACATAGGACAATTAGTGCGTGGCGGTTACGGGCCGCTCATTAGGCTGCGTGGGGCCGCATTCCTATTTTAAGTGGTGATACTAAAGATTTAGAGGGTTTGAGGTGGGTAGATTAGAATCTCAGTTGTTTAACTTAGTTATCTAAATGGTGCAATGCCACACAGACATAGGCTTGGGCAGGGAATCCCAGGCTGTTCTCTGGCAGCAGTGTGTTCCAGGTGAGCCCTTGGGTTTGCAGGGAGGGTGGTTGTGTCCCGCCCTCTCACCAGCTCAGCTTCATCCTGGAAAATACCACCAAGTGCCTGTACCACTCGGTGCCCCAGGCCGCCTACGCCGCTCTCGGGAGGGTTTTGGTGCTTTTCTCTGACCGCTCGGGCTCCTCTCTCTTTCAGCCTGGGTTAAGACGGCAGCCCTTGGGTGCTCCGAGGTGGGTGCCTGTGTGTCCGCTGTGCCTTACTGTGCAGGCAACTTGCCAAAAACCCAAATGTGAAGCAGCAGGGATGCGCGGTGGCAGCGGCGTCACGGAGCTCGGTACCTTCCACCCTCGATGTCCCTGTGCCGGGGGGTGAGCGGGGGCTCTGCCCACCTGATGAGGGTCTCTCCTTCTCCCACTGTCCTCCCCTGCGTGGTATCACTGTAGATCCCTCGCGTGCGACGGGCGAGCTGCCGTCGCAGAGAACGTTGCACTGTGTTCGTCTGCTGAACGTGGGAGAGGTCCGCGGCCCCAGCCAGGGGCGTTGGAAACGAGCCGCCCCCGCGAGCACGCTCGGACGCCGTGAGTTTTCCTGTTGCCTTTCACTACGGAAAGACACCTCCCGGGAACCTCTCGGGACAAGAGGTCTTCCGGCGCTTGCTGTTATTTTTGGTTACCCAGTTTCCGGTGCTGGGCTGGAACAGTTTGGAAGTAACTCCGGTTGCATCCCGTTGGTCTCTTAAGGGGGCTGTTGGGAGAAGCACCCAGCTCTGTGACTTGCCTTGGGAGTCCTGCCTTTCCGCTAGGGACTGTGGTGGAGGAGGAGGCCTGAACCATTGTAATTAGTCTGTAACGTTAACGGTTAGAGTGTACAGAGTTATTTATTTTGTGTACTCGGTCTGCTAAACATGCAAATTGTATTCTGTGTTACCCCCTCGCTCTGCTGTCGTTACTTCTGGCTCGTGGACCTGGCGCAGGGGCTGACTGCTGAACGTGCCGCTTGCTGGGCTGGGAACGGTGGTCGGGAAGCGCGCGGAAGAGCTGCTCACCCCTCTGACGCCTTCCCGGAGCGCAGCGAGAAGGTACCGAAGGGTCTCTCTATGAGCTGCCTGCCTGAGGGAGGGAGACCTCGCGCCGGGCTGGGATGGCCGCAGGGATGCTCCGGGTGGGTTGGGCACTCGGCCTGTTGCAGGATGGCAGTGTTCAGCAGCTGAACCGGCACTTTGGGGTGTTTTGTTGGCTTTTCTTTGGCTGCACGGTGGCAGACAGGCCAGAGCAATACCCTGCTGTGCCCACAGCACCTCGTCACTCTCCGCTTTCACTCTGAGCAGCTTTTATGGACCAATGGGAAAAGCTGCCATGTCCAGCTGAACCAAGGACTCCTGGGGGGAGGTGATTTTTCAGGGGCGAGAGCCCCCACACCCACAGGGGTAGAGATGACTGTGACCACAACATGCCGAACAAGTGGCCCGAAGTGCTGCAGGTCACTAATTCCTGTCTGAAGCTCCATGTCCCACCAGTTTTCTCTGCTCTTATGGCCCATCCCCACATCTCTGACCTTCAGCTGTCTCTAAAAAGAAGCTAACTAGAGCCAAAAAGAGCGCTGCTTTCACATGGCGGATCACGTTGTGGGTACCACGGGGCAGTAGCACACTCTAAACGGTGTGGCAGAGCGGTGGGACCAGTGTGAACCTCATCCAGCTGCTGCCAACCCAAGGAGGGATTTGCGAGGAGCTCAGCCCCTGTGCCCTTCTCCCCTGCGTCCTGCTGGGGACCCGCTGGGTCAGGTTGCTCCTGCTCCTCCATGATGTCCTCGTGACCAGCTCTGTTCAGAGCTGCCAGGAGCCAGGTTTTAATTCACTGACCATGTGGGAACAGAAGATCTGGGTGTTTGTACCTGCTGTGGTCTCAAGAGCCTGTGTGGGGGAAAACGCTGCTTTCTTCTGAAAACCTGCTGCCCAGATTTTCCTTTGGGATGGCCTTGAGTTTCCCGCTCTGTTACCTGGCAGATCTGGGCATGTGAAGCAGCATGCCATTCCCCAGCTGCCCCTTTCCCAAAGAGCTGGAGCTGCCATTGGCATTTCTCCCTTTCAGCCCTGTGTTCCCAGGTTGAATTGCAGGCGGGGATCTTGGAAGATCCAGTGCACCCCCCTTCCATCGCAAGCCGAGAAGTCCTTGCTGGTGCTGAGCCTGGAGAGCTGCAGCCCCAGTCCCTTCCCTGGTGGGACCAGCTGGTGCTGGGAACCTTGTGCCCACCACAGTGGTCTCTGGGCTGTGCCAGGGTGTGGATCTCTGTGCTTGAAGACCCCCTAAGCACCCCTCATGCCACAGCCCTGTTCACCACTGTGCATCATGTCCTGGCTTCGTGCCTCCCCAGGGAGTCCCAGCTGGGCTCGGAGCCTCAGCTCGGGGAGGTGCCAGGCTTCGGGAGAGGAGCCCCAGGCTTCCCCCTGCGCCCCGGCCTGCCTCCTGCAAGGGAAGGAGCCGGAGGCAGCGCTTGGCACAAGCGAACGCTTTATTGTGCGGCAGGGGACCTCGCTTCCAGCTCAGCCCCTTGGTGGCTCTGCCAGGAGCAGCACCCAGTGAAGGGATCCCTCCGGCACTGGCTCTATCCCTGAGCAACAACGTAGTCGATCCAGTTTCGGAACTGGCTGACGTGGGTGTAGATGGCGGGCGTGCGGACGTTGCAGTTGCTGTTTCCCCAGGAGACGATGCCGATCAAGGTCCAGTCATTCCCATTCCAGTACACCAGAGGTCCGCCGGAGTCACCCTGCGGAGAAGACACCTCCAGCTTAATGGTCCAAGGCAGCGGGAAGACCCCCGTTTCCTCCTCCTCCCCCCTCCTTGTGCTGCGGAGGGAGCTCGGCTCCTTACCTGGCAGGAGGAGGCACCGACCCCTCCGGCACAGAGCATGGAGCTGGTGATCCGGTTGCCCCAGTACTGCATGCACTGGTTCCGGGAGATCAGGGGCAGGGTTACCTGCTGCAGGCGCACCGCCAAGGCTTGGGCTGGGGGAGAGAAGCACCGTTGGATCGCCCCGGCGTCGGCGGGTCTCCCGGGGCCTCGGGAGCACACCGGCACCCTGAGGAAGCGCACACTGGTGCTCCCAAATGCACAGGAG